TTAAAAGAGACACCCTTTCCTCTATTCTCACACCCTTGAACAGAGAAGGAGGAACTTTCAACTTTTGATTTGACTTTGGGTAACTTCTGGGTATTATATAATAATCTCTGGGCAATTCCAACCATGAACTCCGGCAACTTTGCCAATCAACAAATCTGGATCTTGAAGTGCTACAAAAATCGATCTTTGTCAATGAGTTTGACTTCAGCAGGAATAAAACCACAGTAGTTACCTTTTATCTTGATGACCACCTCAACACAATCAATAAGCATAGCATTTTTACTTGCGTATTCAATGAAGCCACCTAAACAGTCTCCCACTACTTTGAAGGTCGCTAGGCTCCATAAATGGAGAGGAATGTTCCTGATTTTGACCCATCCACCATAAGAAGGGACTACATTAATGCGACCATGTTTTTTAGCGTCCAATCTCTCCATTTTCAAAGTAAGAGGTCCAAAAGTGACCCAACCTTTATTCAGGGCTAGAAGTCTCGCCAGGTCACTTGATTTGCACTTTAAGAGGGCTTTGTTTGGTTGAAAAGCATTGGTGATAAATTTTTCTTCCATTTGTTTCTGTAGAATTTCTAGAATCCGACCCCAATCATCATGAAAATCTCGTCATGTCACTACTAAGGACCTTCCCAGTTTAAAGCTCTAGCTTCTCCCTCTTCACCTTTTTCTGTTGTCTCATCTCAACCTTTCCCGAGCTTTTATCAATCAAAGTCGGTTCTCTATCTCTAATAACCTCTGCATAAGATTTCACTTTCTTAACGTTTTGTATCTGCTTATCTTCATCTACCGGGTTCATAAAACTTATAAGCATCTCCCTAAAAGCCACCCAGCCTTTGAAATCTTCATCTTATGGAACAACTAGATTTCTTTTGCCTCCATTTACTTGCACTTTTGTTATCTCCATAAAACAACCTCTTCTATTTGAGATCTTTTGGAGCCAGATGAAGCCTCCATTGCAGTCCAACTTCCTAAAGAACTTTTGAGTTTGCAGAGCAAAGAGCAAGTCCTGAAAGTTATCCACAATCCACACAGCTACTACTTCTTCAACTGAGATGGAGAAGAATCTCTTACTACGTTTTTCCGCTATCTTGAGGAAGCGCCCTCTTTTCTCAGGGTCAAGACTGCACCCAAAGGTCTTATTTTCAATTCTGACTGGCCTACCCCTCGATCCCATTTCTGAGAATAGACGTTAGCATGGGTCTAAGCACTAGCATGATTAGAGGACAAGGATCGGGGAGATGGGGGAAGGTACCGAGGTTGGGGTGAGAGAGGAGCGAGAGCCATCCTTTTCCATTTAAAGATTCATTATCAACTTCAAAAATCTGATGTAAGCATCACCAGCCTTGATTAGAGAAAAAAAAAATTATTCTTCAAAATCTGAAGTTGATAATGAATCAAGGATGGTGATGATGCTTACATCAGATTTGAAGTATGAATCGATTCTGACATTTGAGGAAGATTGCTCATTGATGATTTTTTTTGATAAATTAATTTTCCCAAGAGATGAGCTCTTTTCTGTGACCAAAGTCAACTCTTCATTCAATTATAAGACCAAAGTCAACTCTTCATTCAATTATTTGGATGGATGGTACTGCTGTTGTAATAAATGATCTTCTACTAGGATTTTATTTGAAAATAAGTTCACAAATCAAGGAAACCCATGAGTTTCGTGCATCTCTCTTCCAGTAAGTCAGATTGGATTTTATCTTCTCAAAACTCTCTTGAAGATGGATCCACGCTTATAAAAGGCCCTTTTTTTTCTCATATAGTAGAAAGGATAAGCTTCTCAAAACTCTCTTGAAGGAGTTTATGATCTTTTACGCTTTTGGGCAGAGGAGAATCCTTTTCCAAATGAATTTCACCATGGGCACTAAATGACTTTTCACTTTCTTCATTTGAATTTGGATGGTTTGAGAATGCGGTGCTTCATGCATGTCTTGGACATTAAATTCTCTATTTTTAATCAATGGATCATTAGTTATATCTTCCTTCGAGAATGCCTCAATTTGAGAAGGCTCATGCATGTCATAAGCATTTAATTCTTTTTCATCTGCCAACATCTTCGAAAATTCCATCTTTTCATCCTCATTATGCTATTCTTTGATAAGTTCTCTTGGAACGTTGCCACCAGCAACATTAAATAAGTCTTACTATGTTTTTTCAAGCTTAGCAATATAAGAGACAATGTCAGATGTGCAGTCTATTATCTCTCAGCTACTGGGTTGACCGGTTTTAAAGCCCAAAGCCTCTTTTATTTGGGTCAATGCTATTAAAGCCCTGTATTGAAAAGTTGTGGTTTGAATGAAATCAAAGGATTTTTAGGGGAAGAGCAAATCTTTGACTGAATCCCCAGCTTAGCTAAGTTTAAAGCTTCTCATGGTGTTCTCTCTCGGATTTCTCTCCTAGTCTCATTTCCTCTAATTGGGGAGCCTTTATTTTTCCTTTCTAATTTGTTGTTATTACTTTTTGCTTGTTCTTGTCTTTTATTTTTCCTTGCCCTCTCTGGAGTTTGTATCTTTGAACATTTTTGTCATTTTTTATTAATGAATGAAAAGTTTGTTTCTTGTTAAAAAAAACATAAATAAATAGACAATGTTGAATGTAAGAGACTCTTCATCTTCAAATACTTACTGTTGTACTCGATGAATGTCAATCTTGTTGCTAATAGAACTTGTATCCAGAGTTACACCATGGGCTTTGCATGAGAAATTCTGGAAATAGGAAGACCTAGGACTTGTGGAGATTTGAACCAAAAAAACTTCCAAAAAAAAATTCCTTTTTCTAGAAATTGACGTGTCGCCGTGTTCCCGTCGTGTCATATCCATGTCGCGTGCCTATGCTTCCTAGGAAAGAAAAAACCATTTAAAGCTGTCTTAAAATTAAAGAAACCTTCAAAAATCAGAACATGTCCTTTCAAATTGTCAAGAACTTTAAGATTTCCCCAGAAACCTTAAAAATAAAAGCCTAATAAAAAAATATACCCAATAACCAAAATCCAGCCAAGTGGAAGTTGAAAAGCCATCTTCGAATGCTGATTTCCAATGGAAATTAGAGATGACCCTGCTAGCTTTTTTGGAACTGCCATAATCAGTGTCATTTTCCTTTTTCTAAATCTATTAAGGCTCGATCAAAACACCCCAAATGAAGATTTCTTTTTTTTATAATCTGAATCGATGTCGTGTGGCTTCGCCAGTTGGATATCTATAACTGGGGGTGTCGATGGCCACCGAACACTGTAATTGACGTTGCGGAAATCATCCCCGAATGGGGGGAAGCCCCGGTTATGCGTCCCGGGGGCTCAAACCGGGGAGGGGTATCCCCATTCGGCCACAAACCAATACGTCACTATGGTGCCAAATGAAGATTTCTAATGCACCCAACTATAAACTTTAATCTTCATCTTTAATGATGAACATTTGTATACAGTATCCCCTTACGTTTGTGGTATTCAAAAGGAAGCAAAAAGCCCTAATTATAAGCAAACACCAGCCTATTCGGGAGGGCTGGAAAACTGTCCTAACCTATCCAAGTAATACACAAAAATAAACGTACCCAAATCCCAAGGACCACAACTTTCTTGTAATCAAGCATTAATTGGCGCTCTTGATTTGATTTCATAAGCTACGAGACCACAATCTTTAAAAGAATTTAGAATATTTATGGTCATTTTGGTCTGAATTGAATCCAACTTGAAATCAAACTTGAAATCCAACTTGATGACTTGATGTTGACTACTGGTGCAGAAGAAATTTGGAGAGGGAAGAGGAGAGCATTTTCCTTCCTGAATCACCAACCACATGCACTTGAACCTACCCACGGAGTGGACCCCATTTAGTTCTTTGTTCTCCCTAGCACAGTGCTTCCACAACATGTTTTCAACCTTCTAAACCGTATTCACCCCTGACGACCAAAAACCCAGACCCAATTCACTCCATGCGTTCAAGTTCAATATGAAATCCATATTACATGACAATTAAATGCAGATCAAAGCTGAGATCAAAGCCCCATGTCCAAACATCTCTCAAAAGAGTCGATAGTTTCTTCCTCTGAGGGCCCAAAAGCATAGATCGGGTTCCTGAATCGTACAAGGGACGAGGGTTTGAAACTCCAAGGGGAATGAAAAATGAAGTGAGGATTTATGATCTGGCAAATCCTCATGAAACTGAGGATTGTGTGGGGAGAGATCTGAAATAAATTGATAGTTTGAGACTGTAGTCAGCTATGGAAAGCATGGGAAGAAGAGAACCGCACGTATGAGTTAACCTACTAATTGGAACTCTAACAATTAAAATTGGCAGTAACGAAATGGAGTACAATACAGTGCATAACCTTGTTGATATGGATATGATATGACATAACTTATGTCACATAAGAACACCTCCCCAAAAGATACTTTATAGAGACATAAAAGTTTGGACAAAAACATTCTAGTTTTCAGTTATATACTCCGGGAGAAATGGGAAAATGGAAAGAAATTAAAATAGTTGATAAGCATAACAATATTGGTCAATCTGTATTTATCTAAATGAGACAGAAACAGAGATACCAGTCTAGGCCAACTTAATCTATCATGAATCACTATTATCTAAATGATTACCATACGAAAATTCAAGGCCAAAAACCAGGTTTCTAAATTATCATGTCTTATATCAAACTTATAAAGAATGCCAAAATTAAATATGGCAACAGTATCATACACTTCAAACAAGTTTATTCAGTCTGATTTTTCCAGTTTATGTATTTTTCACAGTAAAAGTTTTATTGTGTTCACTAGTGCTTGAGGGTGTATATGTCCACCATGTGTCTGAAAGAAAGAATTATATAGGCCTGGTACTCTGATTTCAGCACCTACCAAAATTCAACGTTTCAGGGTATACAGCACATATCAGACCCAACTTCAAAACTATTCCAAGTCAACAGGTGATCCCAAACCCAAGCTCTTGCAACCAATTATAGTAAAGAAAATATATGAAGTGAGAGATATCTTACTTGCAACTGATTGCGAACTAGTTCCAGCTTTGATTCCTGTAATTTTTTACAAGGAATTCAACTTTACAATCAAGGTATTTCAACCATATAAAGGAGGCTCGCGATCTTGAGAAATTATATAAAGTAGAAATAAAAAGATGAAGGAAAGTTACTTGGTCCTGAAGTGCTTCTACAAGCAAGGAAACCAAAGAACCCCTAGTTGCCTCAACACTTTCGAGTTGCCCAATACATTGTTGAATTACACTTTCCTGCTCTTGGAGGTCATCCAACAATGCAGACCTTGGTTGAGTCCCTAGTTTGAAAGGAAAATACAAAGAGAAATTGTCTTACAATATTTTTTCAAGGAATAAGGTTTCATAACACAACCATACAAATATAGCAAGGAGAATTCTATATAATGAACAAAATAAGGCAGAGAATGGAATGATCACTGACTGCATTGCAAACTATTGAAAGGAAACTAGGCATTGAAGAATAAAATATTCATGCAATAAAATGGGGTTTGGCGTGACAAGGAAAGATGCCCCTTTGACTTGGCCAATGGTCCAACACTCAAGTTGGATTGAAGATTTGAATCATTCTTAGCTCGTTCACTAAGGCTACAAAGGTTGAATCTTTGCAATCCTTGCATGAAGGTATCCCCCACCTGGTTGATAGAATAGCTGGGTACATGACTCCACTATGAAGCCTTCCCTTAAAAAAGTGCCTATCCACTTCTACTCAGTTGATCCATATCTCAAATCTTTTTCTTAGGATTTCATATCTCTAAATTTGGTATATCAGTTGATCCATCGAAAATTGCAGCTATACAACAGTGACCAACCCCTACTAATATTAGAGATGTTCAATGCTTCTTAGGCTTAGCATCCTTTTACAGAAAGTTCATTCGCCACTTTAGCACTCTAGCTAGTCCTCTCACTTAATGTCTTAAGAAAGGGAAGTTTAAATGGGATACGGCACAAATCACAAGCTTCCAAAACCTTAAAGACAAACTCAGTACAACCCCTGTCTTAGGCCTCCCACATTTCACTCAACCATTTGAGGTGGCTGTGGATGCCTCCGAAATCGATACAGGAGCAGTGTTATCCCAAAGAAACCACCCAATAGAATATTTTAGTGAAAAACTCACACCTCCAAGACAAAAATGGTGCACTTATGAGCAAGAACTTTATGCCTTAATTCGAGTGTTAAAACAATGGGAACATTATCTCATCGGCAAAGAATTTATCCTATTCACCGATCATTTCTCACTAAAGTACATCCAGACACAAAAAACAATTAACCGAATGCATGCCCGTTGGATTGCCTTTATCCAAAAATTTGACTTTGTTATCAAACATAAACCAAGTACTTCCAATAAAGTAGCTGATGCACTTAGTAGAAAGGCTAGCCTACTAACTTTATTGTCTGGCCAGATTATAGCATTTGACCACCTGCCTACATCTTACCAACATGACATTGACTTCTCTCATATATGGTTAAAATGTCAGCAACATGTTAATTAAGATGATTACCACATTATGGATGGATTTTTATTCAAAGGCGATAGATTATGCATTCCACATCCTTCTCTAAGGGAAAGTTTGATCCAAGATTTACATTCGGGAGGTTTGGCGGGCCACTTTGGCAAAGACAAGACATTCGATCTTGTGGCTGCAAATTCGAAAGGATGTTCATAACTTTGTTAGCCGTTGTTTCACTTACCAAAAAGCCAAAGGATAGACTCAAAACTCAGGCCTATATACTCCCTTGCCAATACCAGAATCTATTTGGGAAAACCTTTCTATGGACTTCATACTTGGTCTCCCAAAGACACAACGAGGCTATGATTCAATCCTTGTAGGAGTCGACCAATTCAACAAAATGGCTCATTTCCTTCTTTGCAAGAAAACATCAGATGCCATCTATATTGCAAACTTGTTTTTCCGCGAGATAGTACGCTTACATGGTATCCCAAAAACTATTGTTTCAGATAGAGATGAAAAGTTCTTAAGCTATTTCTGGAAAACTCTATGGAAAAAATTCAATACCTGATCAAAATTCAGCACAATTAGCCACCCACAAACCGATGGGCAAACCGAAGTGACTAACAGAACTTTAGGGAACTTAATCCGCTGTCTAGGTAGAAATAAACCCAAGCAATGGGATCTCACACTCGCACAAGCTGAGTTCACGTATAACCACATGAAGAACCGGTCCACAGGGAAGTCCCCCTTTGATATAGTTTACACTAAATTGCCTAGACTAACGGTGGTTCTTACTAATCTCCCTACTACTGTTGATTTTAGTGCAGAAGCAGAACAAATGGTAGAACGGATCGTGGAATTGCATAAGGAAGTGGTGGACAACCTAAACCAAGCTACAGCACAATATAAAGCAGCAGTAGATAGTCATCGCCGCCACAAAACATTGATGTAGGCGATCTGGTTATGGTCCATTTGAAGAAAACCCAATTTCCGAAAGGGACTTCCAACAAATTACAAGACAAAAAAAAATGGACCGTTCGAAATCCTACAAAAATACGGGGACAACGCCTAGAGTTAACTTACCAGACTCTATGCGGATGCATCCCATGTTCAATGTAGCAGATATCTACGAATACAAGGCTCCAGATTCCTTTGTGTTAGCTTCTTAACTCGAGGTCGAGTTGTCCTTTTAGAGGGAGGGAATTTGATGTATTATCATTGAGGTCCTTCGTATTTCTTGGTCAGCTGGGTTATTCCTTCAAGTTGTTAGTTAGTTATATTAGTTAGAAGCTTTTAAATAGCAGCTATTATTTTAGTAGCCGTTATTAGCAGTTGGCCTTCCTCTTTATAAAAGGCCATCCATTCGTGTTAAAAGGCTGATTTTTTGGAATAATAAGATTTTCCTAATTGGTTTCACACCAGTAAGTCTTTTAGCTCACTCTTCCTTTTGTGCAGGTCATCTAAAATCTAGTCACTCAAGTCAAGAATTTGCCTTTCCCCTATTCACATCCCGTTGGGGCAAATCCAGACCACTCGATTTAATTGGCCTCCCCAAATTACATTTTAACCGTTAGCATCGTCTGTGGGGAATCAAATTTAGGTCATCCGCGCAACGGTGTGCACGGGAGGCCAGCCGAGGCATTTCGAATTGTTTGTTGACACGGACAAAGTCAAGAAAAACCTCTAAAATTATTTTAATGTTTGACCTTGGACATATAACAGATCTGAATCGAATCTCTTTAGAAAGAAGATCTTTTATTTGTCTCGTGGTAGCCTGCTCCAGTTCCCTTACAAAACTTTCATTATTTTTGGGGTTGCTAACTCAATGGTAGAGTACCCGACTATTCTATTTTTGACAATTGGAATGAAGCTACTCTTCCACGAAAAATTGAGACTCAAAGAAACTTGAAGGTGAAGAATTTATTGTTCTTTTGTCTATAATTAGTTTGGTGTCTTTAAATGTTGAAGAAGATTAAAGCTGCTGGAATATTGATTCCTAGTGTTTTCTCGGTAAAATCATCATCCAAACCTCAAGTTTCATATTTAAATTTAAATCATAACACATAAATAATTTCTATATAATAAAATAATAATAATAATAATAATAATAATAATGTATCCCAGCATGTCATCTCCTACAAATCGACATGTCGCTGTATCCATCTGGCATGTCCATATCTATGCTTCTCAGATGCCAAAGGTGGCTGGAGAGGGATAGAAGCAAGGGACTGCTATAAGCTACACGTAAGTGAATCTTTGAATGTTAGGGTTAGGATTTTGGAGTGGGTTGGGGACTAAAAAGAAGCTGACTATTGGGTTTTAATGAGATTGGATTCGGAATGCTAAATGGAAGTTGACTGGTTCGGCTTAATGAGATTAGACCGGAAGCTGGGGCTGACTGTTGGGCTGATAGTTAGGGTCAGGGAGAGCTTTCTAAAAATAATAATAATAATAATACACAGTTTGGTTCGGTTATTTTTTGATTTAACAAACTTTAAACTAAATTGAACCGCTATAATCAGTTCTAAAATAATTTGAAACCGAAAACCAAGTTCGGTTTGGTTTGGTTGGTTTTCTCGATTTTAATGCTCACTCAGTATCTACCTACACATGCCATAAATCATTGATATTTAGTGAGGCACATACACATGCATCTTGAAACACTGATATTTAATAAACAAATGCCTTGGTACAAATTATCGATATAATAATCATAACAAAAGAAAATTCCCTTTGGCACAGTATCCTTTGTAACAGAGTGATCCCAATAGAAGTAAAAATAATAAAATATAAATAAAAAAAAGGCCCGTCATGAAAATATTCTCATAGCAATAAAGTGGGAAAAAAACTTTTATCTTTCATAAATAAACGAGATCTTCGAACTAATCATTAGTATTCTTCAGTAGCACATCATTTACGAGTAAAAATAATTAACCTTTAAAGTATATGAGATCCCTTCAATAACATTCTCAATGAGAATACACATGATTTCCAAAAGCAGATAGGTTAAGTTTGCCAAGGATGCCGGGGCTTTGGATCTATCAAAAGTCTATATTGCATAACTAGCACTTCATACAATAGACCACTCTAATTAATCCAAGCTTGGGGTTACACTTAATACAATGTCTTGGTGTAAAGCATCTTCACTTTTTTACTCATATCGTATGGATACACTTTTGACCCATTGGAGAAGTTTCATGTAACTTCATTGGCTATTGGGGTTTTCTTTACCTCCCCTTCTTTTTTGTAATTTCATACATGAATGAAATTGTTTTCTATCAAAAATAAATAAATAAATAAATTAAGCCGAGCTTGGTTTACATGGCAATATCATCTTAGGCTAAATTTGCATGAGATGACTATAGTATATGAGTTTATACCTTGAGCTAAGGTAGCATTTAAATCTTCCTCAATTTGATTCAGATGATGAGTGGCAGAACTACAATTGTTCAGAGCAGTATCCTCATTCAGATGTTCATCAAGTACAGATTGAAACGCAGTAAGAATCTTTTCTGGAACACCTCCAACAGCCAGTTTCTAGAGTTAAGCAATAAAGACATATAGGTCATAAAACAAGAAATAAAATGGCAAACTGCAATAGTCAGCTGCTAACACAGCCAAGCTCTTACAATTCTCACAGAGTGGGCATCCCTCTTCACTATTTTTATAGGATTTGAACTCTTCCCATTGCTGCTCGGTAAAGGAGGTGGATTTTTACCAAGCATTTCGTCCTTAAGACTCTGACCCCGAGAACCAAAAACTTTTCTTTCCTCCCATATGTCAACCTTAACAAACCAACTCCCATTGAGGGAAACAAAAGGAGAAAAAAAATGAGTGAGTCAAATGAAACTCCATCTAAAGAAAACACTAGGGATACTGTCACAAGGAAAAAAAATGGAAAAATAAAAGAGGGAGGGGGGACTTGTGAATCCATCTTTTTCAATTGTAATCAACATTACAGGGCCAAGCACGCTCATGATTATGGATTTCAAACAATAATGTTTTTTAAAAAAAATGCATGAGGAGGTTAATTTAAAAGAAATGTCAATCAATTGGTGACACGTCCAAAGTCACAGTAATGTGCTACTAGTATTTAACAAATTAAATGGAAACAATCAATGCCAGGTCTATGAGGATGCAACAGTACTCCAGGTACACATGCATTCATATGTGCTAAGCTACGAAACACATGGCGTACTTTGACAATTGTAGTGTCACTAGTTATGTTACAAATAGAATAAGCAAAGTCGTTAATAATAACTTACAGTAATAAGAGAATGAGTACAAGACATGGCGAACGCTTATCCTAGAATATTAAGAGTGTGTTTGGTTGGTAGAATGAGTTCAAGACATGACTCTTTTAGCCGTTCCATCCACTTTTGCTGTGAGAAAAGATTCTGCAAGAGCTATTTTGTAGGACACCAAAAGGTAGAGTTCTCTCATCTCCAATTTTTGGATGATACTCTTGTCTTTTGTAAGAATGGAGAAGACAATCTTCATAAATGGTGGTTTTTCCTAAAGTTGTTTCTGAAGGGGGCTGGTCTTTCCTTAAATTTGGACAAAACTTCTCTTATTGGAATTTGGAATTAATATTGACAGCCAACAGGTGCTGTCCTTGGCTAGGAAATTGTGTTTTCATGCTGAATTTTGGCCAATCAAATATTTAGGTGTTCCTCTGAAAAATCACCGTAGGGTGTTTTTCTGGACTGCCTTGGTAGATAAATTTGCAGAGAAACTCGAGAAATGGAAGAACACCTTAATTTCGAAAGGGGGGAGATTGACTCTAGCACATTCTGTTTTAAATAGCTTGCCTGTGTATACGTTTTCATTTTTCATTCTTTTTTTTGGGGACCGGAACTGAACTTTTCATTAAATATATGAAAAAAAAAAAAGAAAAATGTTCAAGGATACAAACTTCGCAAAGGAAGTGGAGAGAAAAGAAAAAGTATCCACCAAGTAACAGAGAACCAAGGACAAAGACCACAAATAACAAACTATCAAACAACATCGAAAAGACAAAAGCCAAAGGAATAACAAAGAAACTCAGAACAGAGGCTTCAAAAAGAAGAAGCCCGGCTGAAAAAAACCCGAAAAAACACCAAGCTGCAGATTGAGAAGCTGAAGTGAACTCAACCACAAGAAACGAGCAAGAATCTCTTAAAAATGAAAAAACTTGGCTAAAGCCTCCACCTTCAAGCCATCGGAAACAACAAACACCAAAGGCCAAGCCTCTCATAAACCAAGATCAAATAAAGCTTGAGGACCATTGCACCAAACAAAAATCGACAGAACAAGCTCAAACGAAGCTCGAAACATCACCTCTTGAATATCTCGGGGGCTCTTCGAAAAAACCTTCCATCTAGGGCCATGGGAACTCTATGCAAATCTAATGAGCGTTAATAAAAAAGGTATCTGAAAAAAAAAGAACTTTAGAACAAGAAATCCAAATCTCTCCTAAATCAGAACAAAAGATCTTCAAAGATTTGGTAAAATTGGAAAGATTTGGTAAAATTGGAACTAAAGTGATTCCAACAACTTCAAAATAAGACAACCTTTTGATCTTCAGAGTATCCTTTTTGTCAAACAAACAATCTTCTTTGCCAGCCATATTCATTTTGATTTCGCAATCAAGAACATTTAAAGAGGGGGATGGGCCTTCCTTAAAGAGAAAATTAAAATCCTCTGCAAAAGAAAATTCCAAAAAATCCTCTTGGATAGAGCCTAATTTGGAAAAAAAAATGGGGAATTTTGACTACTTATGCTGGTTAAATCTTCCTCATCATCCGAAATTGTAAGACCCATGAATCTTTTCTTTTCCACATCATTGGTTGAGTTAATAATTCCAAGAATAAGGGAAGGCTGGTTTCGAAGAGATTCCTTTGCAGAAATCGAATTGCCATCCGAAGAAGCTGCAGATTGCATTCCGTAGCCTCTCTTTCTTCATTAAAGTCGATTTCCAAACTGGTTTTAAGGGATGACTGGGTTTGAAGGGGCATCTTTGGAGACTTTAATAACTTCTCATCCGAAGGGGATGCATTTGGCATTAGACTTTTCCAACTGATTCTTTTCTATTTCTTTATTAAAGACATTTTCCAAATTGGTTGTAACTCGGCCGGCTGTCTTTAAAGATTCAAATTCCAAAGGAAATTTCAAATTATATTTCCTTCTTCAATAGAAGAGAGGTAAAGGAGGAATAAAGTTTCTACGCGACAACTTATCAGGATCAAAAGTAGGGCTACATTCCCGCTGATTAGGGTTACAATCCGCCGCCACAATAACTCCTAAAGCTGCCGTTGGTTCTTCCAAGAACTTTTCCATAATTGCACTGTTTCCCTGCTCTCTTTATCAATAAAAAAGGCCTCATTCTCAAACAAAGACTCTTCATCTGCCAAAACACTTTGGTATCTTTGATTGTTTAAAAGATTCGAAGGTAGAAACCCACAAAAGTTGCTTCAACTTGAATCCAAGCTCCTAAGCAATCCAATAAATTAAGGGTTTTTGACGCAGTACTCTTCAAACGTCCAAGATGAGTTCCAATAGCCTTGAAACACTACTTGTTCCAGAATTCTAAAGTTATGTCACAAACTCTCACCCAGCCTCCATACCCTAGAATCACCTCCTTCTTGATGTGTTTGCTAAAGCACCACTCCTCAATTTTCACGTGAGAAGCCCCCAACTTACACCATTTCTCATTGACAAAGTATTTCTTCAGCATTCGACCATTCTCAAACCTTAACAAGGCTTTGTCTGCCATAAAAAAGTTAATATTTTTTTTTTTTGAACAAAATACGAACTTTTCATTGATGAAATGAAAAGGAACAATAATTGTTCAAGATACAAACTCTCGTTTGAGTGAAAAAGAAACATAAAAACAAAAATACAGAATCTAAACAACAAAATTAGAAGGCCAAATAAAGACATCCCAATTTTTTTTTTCTTGATATCCGTAAGTGTCCGGGCCAGTTTTCGCGGACCTCGACTAATCTCACGAGCAACCGCCTGACCCTAAAACATCTCAATTATTAACAATAAAAGAAAGGGAATAATGTGAGAATGGTTAATAAAGAGAACACCAATGAGATGCTTTGAGCTTGGCGGATGAGAGACAATCGAGCAAAGATCTTCTTTTGTTCTTAAAGATCCTCGAATTCCTTTCAAACCAGATTTTTGAGAGAAAACTCTTCACCACATTAATCCATAGAAGTCTTGCCATAGGTGACAAGTGTGAGACTCCACTTAACAATTGAGTCAAATTTGCTTCGGCCCTCAAATCAAAAACCCAACTGATCTTGAACAGATCAAAGAGAGAAAACCAGCCTTGATTGCCATAAGAGCAACGAAAGAACAAATGATCAATATCTTCCCCACTCGATCCACAAAGAACACAAAAAGAAGGAAGCAATGAAACTGTGGGAAGCTTCTTTTGAATCAAATCAGCAGTGTTTAACTTCCTTTGAAGCATAATCCAAGAAAAGATATTAACTTTCCTTGGACTTTTAGACTTCCATAATGCTATAAATAATTCCTTAGGCATCGAGGAGGCATTATACAATCTGCAAACTGAATTTACAGTAAACACCCGTGTAGGATCAATATTCCATTCTCTTTGGTCCTCCTCATTAGTAATCGAAAAGGAGCTAATCACCTGTAGGAGGCCAGCAAACTCATGTAGCTCATCTTCCTTCAAAGGTCTTCTCAGAATAATGTTCCATGAACCAGTAGCATTGTCCCAAAAATCAGCAACAGAGCCATGAGGTAATAAAGAAAGTTTGAACAATCTGGAAAAGCTTTCTTTTAAAGGACTATGAGTAGTCCAACGAGAATTCCAAAAGCAGACCCTACTGCCACAACCAACTTTGTAGGAGACAAAGTCCTCAACACTCCTCCACTGTGCAGAAATTTTTCTCCATGGACCACGGGAACCGCCAATTCTCCTTGAATTCGTAAAGCACCTGTGAGGCTCAACTCCATAAATGCTTGCCACCACTTGTCTCCAAATTGACATGGATTCACAACCAAAACGCCAGCCCCATTTGGCTAGAATAACATCATTCTTCCTTGAAATACCACCAATGCCCAGACCGTGGGTGGATATAGCAAATCTCAACTTAACCTTCTTCAAAAAAAACTCATTAATTTCAAGACAAGAAGTAGCCAAAATATCAAATTTTGGAAGGATCCTTGGCTGGGGTCCTCGCTTTCTTTGGAGCTTTTATATCCAGACCTGTTTAATTTAACAGTTAAAAAGGATGCCACAATTGCTCAATCCTAGAAGGAGGATCTTTGCACTTGGGACTTGGGCTTTAGAAGAGGAATTCTTGACAAAGAGTGGAATATTTGGGTGGGACTAGCGAACAAGCTTGATACTTTTCGTCCGCGTACAGGGGATGATTCGGTGGAGGGGACCCTTGAGAAGTCAAAAGCCTTCACTACAAGATTCATCTTCATAAAACTGACTCAAGGTCCACCAAAGCTACAAATCCCTTTATAAAGAACATTTGATCCTTCTACAGCCCAAAGAAAGTTAACTTTTTCTTTGGAGCCTTGCTCATAGAAGCATAAACATTCATGAAAGCTCCAAAGAAAAATTATTAATTAGACCATTTCCCCTTCAGTGTGCAGCCTATGTTTGAGGCATGAAGAAAGTTTAGACCATCTTTTCCTCCACTGTAATTAAGCGTACAGAAGCTGGGTATCTTTGGCGAACCAATTAGGTCTTTGTCCTTGAGAGAAAATAGATGGATGGCTCACAGAAGCTTTAAATGGCTGGTCTCTGAAGGATAAA